TAGATATAGATATAGATATAGATATAGATATAGATATAGATATAGATATAGATAGTCAAAGTCAAGGTCACAATAGTTTCAGCTTTCAGTTCCTCTAAAATTCCAATGGTTAGGCAATAAATTGACCTTTTGGCCAAATATTCCAGAAATGTATATATATTATGGAAAGCTAGCAGGAGTGTAAATTTGGTAAATCCTTAACAGAGTTTTCACACTTTCTCAAAGCTGGGCCCTGGGTAAACACTTGGCTGTGGCTGGAACGCGATAACGAATAGAGTCAGCCCCGTTGTGGAAGGGTTGAGGCGTTTGTTTTCCCACATTCGCTGATGCTTTGGGTGCAGCCCATTTGTTTGGTTGGTGTCAGAAGGTTGCGACTCGAGGCGACTCGTTGGCCTTTTGCCGCGCTCATTTGACTATCGGCAGGAAACGTGGATTGTTGCATTTTCACACGCAATCGCAAGAGGCACGCAGTTCGTCGTAACTCCGGCCGGGCCAACTGGTATTTCCCCCGCTGCCCGGGAACATTTTTCATGACTGCATGAGCCAGCCAACGACAAAGTCTTTTCTGCGGTTGACAATTTTCCAAATCCCAAATGGAATTCAGCTTCGGGTTTTTTCTTTCTTTGTCCTTTCCGTTTTTGTTCCTTTTCTGTTTTTTTATTACTTCTGCTGCTTATCTGGGAGTGCGTTAGAGAAATACCGGATGCAGGAGCTCGACCAACGGGCCAGCTCCATGCACGTTGACCAAACAGCTCCCGAGCGCATTTTCATAGTTTGGGGCTGCCGTTGCACATTTTCCGATTTGCCAATTTTCCCGCACTCTGTTTGCTTTGTGCGCTGGCAACGTGAACGTGACTTTGGCTGCGAGCAAAGCGACGGAAGCGGAAACAGCTGCCAGCCCAGCCATTGAGGCTAAATGCCAATCCATGAATATAATTCTTAAGCTCAATTTAAATTGAAGCCAAAAGGAACGATAGATAATCGAATTGAGAAATTGAACTTATTGCACTGAAGGATTCAAGGGTACATATAGATACATATATACTATATCCCCCCTGCGAATACCAAATTCACACAGGGTATCTCCGTCCGGCATCGGATGTCTATGATATTTACACGCTGTCAGCAATAGTTGGCTCTCAGCACAATCAATTTACAATTGCAATGACTGGCCGAACAACTGTTCCACTCGCCAATCACTGTCAATTAGTAACGCCATCAATTTCGGACCAACTGCAGTCGCAGTTGGCGTCCAGGGCAAAGCGAAGACCGAGACACTCGATGCGTCCACTGGGGGGCATCAGCCGGGCCTGGCTTGGATGAATGGACCAGCATGCGGCCGAACCAATTGAAATGCCATTGACTTGCACTGAAACATAGCGAGCTGTCAAGGCAATGCACTTTCGTGATACCCTGTAAAGGAACAGCAATTGCTAAAACTCTGAGCTGAACTCTGAAAGTCTAAATCAACATCAAATGGCATTGCTACCTGCCGGGGCAATATTTTCAACCTGATTAGCATAGCTTGGCACCGTACAGCTTAGCTAAGCACTCAATAGTTGCTCCGGCCGCTAATGAGACCCTGCAGGGGTATTAATAAGTCATCAATTTGATTTCTTACTTGACTTTCAAGGCAATGGTCATAAGCATTTAATGCTCAAGTAGAAAAATTTATAGCACATTCATAAGGCAATGTTGCACTATAGAATACCCTCGAAGATCCCACGCTAAACGAAATTCCTTCAATATTATGCTAACTCACTATTATACTCAAGCTTAACTGTAAAACGCTTAGTGCATAGAATACTGAACTGATTCGCTACCCTGTATATTATTAAACTGCCGAAATACCCTATAAAGGTGACAGCTTTTCATACCATATTGTAATCTACTAATAGACTTCTAATTTCTTAAAAACGTAATTTAAAATCTACTTCATTTTCAAATATACCTTAACTAGCTGCACATCGTTCACACCCGCTACGTCCGAATTGTGCGCGGTAGAAGCGAAGCACTTGAACTACGGCAAATCGCAGCAAATAGTAGAGAAGGCCACTTGGTTCACATTGGAACGTGCCCAAAATGTTGAAATTGTCGAGTATTTCGAATGGAATTCCACAAAAAAAAAACTGTTCTAGATGCTCAATATGCAACGGGCTTTACATGCTCGATCAGCAAATGAGAAAGGGCATATTGGTTTTTTGGTCTGAGTGGTACTTGATATTGAAATAACAGAGAAATAATAGCTCTATTAGATGGAGTCAAATTGAATATTTAAGTAAATGGAGTCAATGTCAGCCTCAAATTGTTGAGCTCTGTGTAGGTTCCATTAAATCTTTGCTCGCTCACTTGTGAGCGTGTATTGGACAGTCGGTTACTGCCCACTTGCCTCGCTGTGCCTTGCAAGTGAATGCGTTTTCGATCGAGGGGCAAGGACGAATGCATCATTGAGCAGATTATGTAGAAGGGGACTACGAAGCAAACCAAAAAATAGGCACATCTGGACTCGGTTTTGTAATTGTGATTGTGATTGTCTTCTTTTTAGCTCACTTCCTGCAAAAAGATGCCAGACAGAGGAGGAATATTACTGGATGGCTATAAAAGTGTGCGTATGCGTTGTTGTTGCCTGCTTGGCCGTGCGCGTTGCTCGCTTGTTGTTTATGAAATGCATTTGCGGGCCAGCCCTTGGCCGCTGGCCCTCGGGCCACATATTTGCGGCAATTTGGGCCATAAATGTGAACGCTTAGGCCAGGTAGGCGTCGCCCGGACCACGCTGAACAGGCTATCCTGGCGTGTCCCTTCACTTGTTGATCCGGCGGGCCATTCCGCGGACTCGCTGTCAAGTTGGCCGCCAATCGAGTCTGCCGGGGCGCTCTGTTGCTCGGTTGCTCTGTTGCTCGATTGGCGGTATTTCCGTTTTGGTATTTCCGCTTGGCCGCGTGGAATTGCCAATGCAAATCGCGTCCACATGTGCCACATAAGCTGCTCGTTAGCATATGCCGATGCGAGGCGGCATCTATTTAAACGTTAATTGTGTCCTTGCTGCTCTGCTTGGCTCTAAGCACTTGCTGCTATGCCAAACGCAGCTTGAGACAAGTGTGTCTCTCTCTGTGTGTGTGTGTGTGTGCGAGTTTGGCATGTGGACAGCCTACGGGAATTGCCCACAACAGTGCTGGCCAGGTGATATACCGCAGCCAGAGTCACAGTTCATCTCGACGTACAGTTGTGCTTACAATACAATTCAATTATCAACAACTACAACAACTACAACAACAACAACAACAGCAGCAGCAGGAGCAGCAGCAGCAGCAGCTTTAATTAAGCCCCGCCTCGCCCCCATCCTCCATTGCTGACCACTTAGCCAGAGCACTCTGCGTTTTATGTGGCTCTCAGGACGTGGCCATCGCAGCTGTCGCTGCCCAAAAGCAGCTCCATTAAATCGT